AGGTCCGCCTCTGGGACCTGAGGTCCCAGCCTAGGCCCTCAGGGACCTGAGGTACTCGCCTGGGACCTCAGGGGACCGTCTGGGACCTTACTGTGCCGCCCCAACCTCCGGGGACCTGAGGTAGCCGTCTCGGACCTCAGGTCCACCTCTGGGACCTGAGGTCCCAGCTTAGGCCCTCAGGGACCTGAGGGACCCGCCGGTGGCCTCGGGGACTCTATCTGGTACGTCCTGGTCTCGAACCCATCGTCGGGGAGCCGGTGGCGACATCCTGGGCCAGCCTGAGTCGTCCTTGATTGGACGTGACGCCGTCCTTGACTCGATTTGACGCCGTCCTTGAATACTGGTCGTCGGTTTTCAAGGACGGCCCTTGAAAACAGCCATTTTCTGTCCGTTTTCAAGGACCCGTGCTTGAAACGGAGTTTTGGTCCTTGAAAATGCAAAAATGTCCTTGAAAACCAAGGACCGGGGCTTACCGAGTAACAAAAAAGGAAAAAACAACTTTCTTTGGCACTGTGAAAAATTTTCGTACCGGATACAGGTAAATTTTCCATGGAAGATGTCGTACAATAACAATTTAAAAATGTGAAATTTTACAAGCCCTGCATATCGACTTGGAATCGACTAACGAGCAGGGGTGGGAGGTTGTACCGGGTTGTATAAGTACGACTCGTTTTGTACAAGTTGCAAATTACAAAATGTACCGTGCACGTACAAGCATGTATTTTGCAGTGGTGGGAGGGGAAATGATTGCTGTGACTGTACCGGAGCCTCCCTCGCACAGGAACAAATACGCGTGTTTGTCCGTCCCATGTGCTCGCTTTGCTTTACGTCGTATGCTGCCTCCCTCCCTTCCTCTTCTCCTCCTCCTCCTTCCTCCTCTTCAGTCCGTCATGAGTTGTCGATCGCTATCAGTCCGTCGGTCGAACTTTCGGCGGAAGGCAGTTCTTGTTATTTCACAGCCACTACATCCTGCCCCCCGCCCCCTTCGGCCCACTTCACCCCCAGGAGAAGGGTCCCTCCTCCTCACAGCCCCCCAAGGCAAGGAGAAGGCCCCGTGCCAGCCGACCCCAACAACATTTCGATCACGTCCGGAGGAAGGGGCAGTACGAGCGCGCCTATCCTATCGCGTCCCGTGACGTGCTGCGCAGGGCAGCGACAAGTAGTGTGCAGCGTTCAAATTCACACGTGTCCGCCGCTCACCGCTTGAAAGAGGACTATATTCGAAATCAAATCGCATAACATATTCTTTCATCACGAGTTGTCGGAAAACTGTTAGACGCTCCATCGCGCCTGTTACACACGTATAACATTGAGTGTCAGTCAAAAGTAAAGACAAAAAATATTACATGTATTATTCTATTTTTAAAAAATCCTAGTACGCTTACAATGAGAGAATTGATCCCCTAACTGAACAAAGATTTTGCCACATGAGGTTGCACTCCTCAACGAAAGGCGAACATATACCAGGTGGGTGATAAACCCCGCTCACTCCTGCAGTTGTGCTGTACCGCACGCACGAGTGCGGTCGGGCTTGCCTAATGCCTATCGCCCATGTCCACGGCGCCATACGGGCCGAGCGAGTAGGCGACCCTCCCGCACTCGTGCGTACGATACAGCATAACTGCAGGAGTGAGCAGGGTTAAGCACCCACCTGGTGTATACTCACTTCTTATTCGCTTTGCGAGTGTATTGCGTTCCGTTTTTCGGGGTGGGCATCATATTTAACCCCGGAACCTCATTTCCGCTCCGTGCGGCAGGCGGGCGGGCAGAGGACAGCTCCCAGTCGTACCTGGGAGCGCAACGGGCAGCAGCGTACAACTAAGTTGGGAATGCTCGGAAAGGAGGAGAGAGAGAGGGTGGGGGGGGGGGGGGTTATCTAATGGAGTTCGCAGCGACACGGGGCATACCCCGGCAATGTGATATCAAATATATCGCCCCTGTCGCACTCCACGCCTCATTTCGAATTGACTGCGACCGAAACTGTACGAAGCGGGAAGAAAATGTAGCAAACAACTCAGATACTCTAAGCCTCTCGCCAGGCCTGTGTGAGACAACTTTTGTTCTCGTCGTTTATTTCATGTGATTTCTGCCCTTCTATCATCGCGGGTGGTAGATTGACCTACATTTCGTTGTTCAATTATAGTGCTGTACTCATGTACGTGCCGGTGCCGTTACATCTCTCTCCTTTATCTGGTACTTTTCCCTTTCCTCTTCATTCTACTTCGATTCTACTTCTTTCTCTTTCAGAATTTTTCTCCCCCCCCTCTCCACCTCTCTCCCCCCACCTTCTTCCCCTCTTCCTTCTGTAGTTGGCGAGCGATAGGTTTGGTTGCGGTACGTGGCGGAAAGTTGGGGAGAGACACTTTGAACAAGTCGAGTTTAGCCCCTCCCCACCTACCACGACCACCTCGCCGCCTTGCGCTCGGGTGGCTTCAGGGGGACGACCCCGACGTGGAGCCCACTCTGATGGAAACACTGCAGTACAACAATATCTCACTTTCACTAGAACAGGAAAATGTCCTGCTGGGACTGGGAAGCAATTCCGTGTGTTGGACGTACTCTGGGTGTGGAAGTGTCAAACAGGAGAGTTGAACTCTTATAAGTGCGCAACTACTGTGTTTAACTTTACTTGTAGGAATTTATCTTTCAGTTGGACACTGCTCATAAGTATTCAACTTTCTATTGAACAGTCCTGCAAGTATTCAACTAACTGTTGAACATTGCTTGCAAGTATTCAACTTTCAGTTGAACATTCTTTGCCAGTATTTAACGTTCGTTTGAGCTTTACTGACAAGGTGTTACTAAGGTAATCAGTATACATTTAACCAATTCCGTGGCATCATATTGATACCATTCACCAATTTCCAAACTCGCCCTAATAGTTTACGACAGAAGTTTGGTAATCGAGAGATGGAGGACTAGAAACGTACTACAACGACGTTTTTTGTTTTCATTTTTTGTTGCTGTTTTGCAGTGCTCACCTGTTTGATTTTCCGTTGTTTGTCTCCCTGTCCTTGCAGAGCAGACCGGGGCCGTGGCGCCCATCATCCTGCAGCAGACGAGCAGCGTGCACGCGGCCCAGGAGGAGTCTGCGCGGCTGCTGTGCCTGGCGCTGGGCTGCCCGGAGCCGGCCTACAGCTGGCAGCTGCTGGCACTGGGCGGTGGCATCCACGGCGGTGGCCTCGGCGGCGGCGGTCTCGGCCCGCGTGTCAAGGTGCTCGGCCCGCTGCTCGAAGTCGAGTCGGCCTCGCCCGAGGACGCCGGCACGTACCGCTGCACGGCCAGGAACGCGGCGGGCGAGGCCAGCGCCGAGATGAGGCTCTCCGTGTACACGCCGCTTGAGGTGCGTGAGGAGGAGGACGAGGAGGACGGTGACAGGGACGAGGATGGGGACGGGGACGGGGACGACGAGGACGAAGACGAGCACGACGAGGATGAGGAGGATGACAAGGACGACGATGGCGAGGACTAGGACGACAAGGACGAGGACCACGAGAACCACGAGAACCACGAGAACCACGAGGACCACGAGGACCACGAGGACCACGAGGACCACGAGGACCACGAGGACGTGAACGATGGGGGCGACGAGGACGACAAGAATAATGACGAGGAAGAAAATCACTGTGGGCCAACCTGACCGCTAAAAATGACGCTGCTGTTCCAGGTGGAGGTGGAGCCCAAGCTGCTGGTGGTGCAGGTGGGCGGCTCCGCCGAGTTCCGCTGCCAGGTGTCCTCCCCCGGCGGCCTCGTCACCTGGTACAAGGACGGCACGCCCGTGCTGGGCGGGCCCGGCGGCCCCGGCGGCGGCAGCGCGGGGCTGCTCTCCCTGGGGGCCGTGTCCAGGGAGGACCGCGGCATGTACCAGTGCGTGGTGCGGCGGGCGGAGGGCGACACGGCGCAGGCCGCCGCGGAGCTGCGCCTCGGAGGTACGGGTACAGGGTGACCGCTCGAATTTGGCGGGGGACACAGGAGGACGTTACACCCGACCCGGATTCCGGAGTACCTAGAGTACCGGTTGTTTCATAAAACACACAGGTGCGGGGGAGGGGGCGGGGCTAACAGCTCTGCCCGTAAGGCCCCTTGGGTAGGCAAACCCGCCCGCACCTGTGTCTTTTATGAAACACCCGATACA